ACATGTACTAAAGTTTAATTTATCAAAACTTGTCGTATGCTAGTTAGTGATGTGTGATGTTAATTAACTTTCGGAAAGTTTGATAACACTTGCTGGTTTTTGCAATATCAAACAGAGTGTGAACCTAATCTGATTCATATTGCTTTTCCATTTTGCTTGTATTAGAATCTATATATCTGACACATAGTTAACACCTTTACTCCCTAATGATATTGATTTTTTATTTTATTTTCTACTTAAATTTCCTCCATTTTTAGTCATTATTCTACATTCTTCTTCGAATTTTTTATCATCATATTATGGACTTTGTTAGTGTTGCATTACTAAATTGACTTTTTTTATTCTTATAAAAAAAATTCACTTATATATATATATATATATATATATATATATATATATATATATATATATATATATATAAAGGTTTTCGACGAAGAAGGTAAATCACAAGTCATTTGAGTAGTTGTTCCTAATTCATCTTGTACACTTCTATGCTCTTACCGTCCCATGATTGGGCACATCTGGTACACTTTTGCGTTCTTGTCATCCCTGATTGGTTAGTGCCCCCAGGCCACTATCCCTGATTGGTTAGTGCCTCCAGGCCACTACACCTCTAGTTTCCAATGAGGTTCAAATCCCTACTATGTCAATAGAAACAAGACTTAAATTGATTGATTCGATTATTTAAGCTAGCCAAATAGCCCAGGGGCTACATAAATTATTTTTTAGAATTTTTAATTCAGTTAACTAATTTATATATACCAATGAATTTATTGCACATCAATATTATGAGATAATTTTTAGAGGTCAGAGAAAAAAAAAATTTTAAAACTTTTGAGTTATTTTTGAAAGGTAATTTATAAGCACCCAAACTGGGGGATCTCGGATGCCTTTACACTAAAATTTTAGTGAATGAGCAAATCATGAATGTGTCTTAACAATCTTACCTTATCTAAAGTGCGTTATAGGCTAACGTCTATAATCATAACGAGTTAAATTTAGGCGTGTTTCGTTCAAACATTTAAATCGAAATGTAAATGAGAATAAAATGATTGGTAATAGTAATAGGTTTAAGTAAGGGAATTCACTTTGTATAATTTGGTAGTAAATAGGAATTGAAATCCAAATAAATAAATAAATAAATAATATATATATATATATATATATATATATATATATATATATATATATATATATATATATATATATAGAGAGAGAGAGAGAGAGAGAGAGAGAGAGAGAGAGAGGAATTGCACTCTTGTGTTAATGGAGTGCCCAGGTGCGAATATGTGAATGCCTGATATCTGTCCACGTGTCTAGATTTAATGGATGAGAAACACTGATTTTAAAAAAAAAAAACGCGGTGGCATTTTCGTAAATAATTGAATATCAAAGTGCAAGTAAAATGTATTACAAGTGCATGTAAAATGTATTATAGGTGCAAGTAAAATTTACACTGAGCATCAATACTAAGTACACCTATAGTTATAAGTAGTTGAACCTAGGTGCATGAATGTTTGCGGGTGGTTTTCAGGGGTACTACTACCCGCAAGAACAAAAACGATGCCAAACAGAACGAACTCAGATCAATGAATGTTAACAAGGCAAAATTAATTGATCAATGAACTCAGGCGAAAGTAGGTGCACTTGTAGGTGAAAGTAGGTGCACCCGATCAATGAATGCTGACACATAGAGCGCGTTGATTTGTTCGCATTTTTCTCCTGGACACCTATTCACACCTGAACGCGACCCTATATATATATATATATATATATATATATATATATATATATATATATATATATATATTTAGGACCATATGAGAACACTTGCTTAGGTGAGAACGTGAGAATAAATCGTGTGCATCCATCTAATATTTTTTAATGGTCTAGATTAGATTAAGTGTGTGCGAACGTGAATTAAATGTGTGCAAACGCGATTAAGTGTGTATGAATACATTTAATTCGCGTTCGCACACACTTAATCTAATCTAGACCATTACAAAATATCAGAAGGATGCATACGATATGTTCTCACCAAAACAAGTGTTCTCATTGGAACCCTACTCTCTCTCTCTCTCTCTCTCTCTCTCTCTCTCTCTCTCTCTCTCTCTCTCTCTCTCTCTCTCTCTCTCTCTCAAATATATATATATATATATATATATATATATATATATATATATATATATATATATATATATATATATATATATATATATATATATATATATATATATATATATATATATATATATATATATATATGGTTAGATTCATGTGAGAACAGGTTTTTCCGTGCGGTCAGTGCGGCATACACCATTAGGTATGCATAAATGCACCACACAGTGTTCGAAAATACACCATTATGTGTGGTGTATTTTTTGTTGTGTGGTGCATTATTTGACATTTCATTCTGGTGTATTCTCGAACACTGTATAGTGCATTTATGCATACCTAATGGTGTATGCTGCACTGACCGCACGGGAAGACCTGTTCTCACAGGAATCTGACCATATATATATATATATATATATATATATATATATATATATATATATATATATATATATACGGTCAAATTCATGTGAGAACAGGTCTTCCCGTGCGGTCAGTGCGGCATACACCATTAGGTATGCATAAATGCACCACACAGTGTTCGAAAATACACCATTATGTGTGGTGTATTTTTTGTTGTGTGGTGCATTATTTGGCATTTCATTCTGGTGTATTCTCGAACACTGTATAGTGCATTTATGCATACCTAATGGTGTATGCTACATTGACCGCACGGGAAGACCTGTTCTCACAGGAATCTGACCATATATATATATATATATATATATATATATATATATATATATATATATATATATATATATATATATATATATATATATATTTAATGCATTGAAAATGCCTTTTAAAAAAAAAATCTTCCTTATTTTTTATTTAATTGTCAAAAGTAGAGGATCGGAGTAAACGAGTAATACATTTTGTAATTGTTAAAAAAATTGATTCTAAGAGTATAATAAGAAAACTATACAAACGAACTAATAAGGTGTAAAAGTCTCCAAACAAACACCATCTTACATTATTGGGCTTGTTTGGTTAACAACAGATCCGCCAAATTTTGACGGATCCGTTACTTTTAACGTTTTGACTTCGGTCAAAACATTGAAAATATTATTTGGCAAATGACAGTTTGAAACAACGGATTTACTCCAAACCGCCAAGTTACAACACGCTGCTATTAACATTTTGCTATGACGTTTTGGGGAAAGACCTTTCTTTCCCCAAAACGCCCCTATATATATATTATAAAAAAAAAAAATATTTCTAAGCAATTAAGGCTCCCTAATTACAGGAGCCCTTTTTGCTCTTTAACATTATTATTACAAGAGAAGGTATGTTTCTCTTATATAGAGGAGCTCATTTGAGCTCCTCTTCTTGAGTTACCGATGTGGGATCAAAATCCCACATCTGTAACTCCACTTTTTTTTTTTTTTTTATAATTATTTTTATATAAATTTCTTTTGTATAATAATAATAATAATAATAATAATATTATTATTATTATTATTATTATTATTATTATTATTATTATATACCATTTAGGTCATTTTACATGTTAACCGCTAAGTTAAACAGCTAATTTTACCAAACACTTTTTTTACAAACCGCTAACACAATTTGCTAGTCAAACCCGCTAATATAATCCGCTATTTGCTAATCACTAACACAACCCGCTACCGCTAACCACTAATCGCTGATTGCCAAACAAGGCCATTATCTTTGGTAAAATTTCAATCCGCACATACCAAAGCGTCAACAATTCACTCACACCACCACAGCTTATAAATACTTAAGGCTACGTAGAAAACAACTCCATCTATATATCTTCATCATCCTCTGCAGCAAAACATGGCTTCATCTCTCCGTTCATTTGCAGCTGCCCTTCTCTTTGTCATGCTGTTCATGCCCACTGGTATGATATATATGCCTCCTTCTTCTTCTTCCTCCTCCTCAGCTCCTTTCTTTTTAACTGAACTGACCCAAAACTCCCATCTTTGTTCTTTTATTTATTTTTGAATGACGAGGTAAACTTGTAGTCACTATCCAAGATTGTGCACAGATAAATCCTGTCTCGTGACCCTAATTAACAAATAACAACAAAAAAATAGAACTAGTTAGTCATAACTGACCAGCTCAAACATAGAATGTTAATAGGTTGTTCTTGTTGGGAGTTGGATTTGTAACCTTGTAGTCGTTTATCAAGTCAATAGCATCACTAATTTGACTGAATTACCCATTTTTGTTCTTTCATGAATATGCATATATGAATGAATGTCTATGCTACTTCCGGTGCATAGTTTAGTACGTGTTTGAGAGGTTAAGTGTGGATGTAGTGATCCAACAAATTAAATTAGTGGGTTCAAATCCTTAATGCCAAAGGATCTCAACTTTAGGCAGAAAACAATTATTCAGACCCGGTCTCTGAGGCACATCCCGCTACCTCCTCTCACAATCTCCAGCACAAGGATCAACTATCAGGTTTAGGGTCGTCTTCTAAACCTCATGTGAATGTGTGTGGTAATTGTGTGCAGAGCTGGGAACAAACACAATAATGGTGGCGGAGGCGAGGACTTGCGAGTCGCCGAGCACGAAGTTCAAGGGGCCATGTGCTCGGGACAGCAACTGCGCATCGGTTTGCCAGACGGAGGGGTTCCCCGGCGGCGACTGCAAAGGGCTCCGCCGCCGCTGCTTCTGCACTAAGCCTTGCTAATTCTTCTATCCATATAGGCAGCTGCGGCAGCGTGTGTATGTGTGGTGTGTATTGCTAAATAAATGTTACAAATCCAACCATGTATGTGGATCAGTCTTAGCTTCTCTCTGCTTCCTAATAAACCTTAGAAAACCCAAACATGGAGTCTGCTGCTTTGCCAGCTCTTATGGTGTTTGGTCTCTTGCTTGCTAGCTGCTATTACATGTATTCAGTTGTTTCATGTTTCGTACGATTTCGGTTTTCTTGTCTGAAGTTATCAACTAATTTCTCTGTTTTTGTTTTTTCATTCACTCTTCCAAAAGGCTGAACCCAATCTTTGTTTTTTCATTCACACAAATTTTACGCGCTCCGTCACATTATTAATGGCAAATTATTCCGTGGACCTGCATCCACAATACGCAATTTCTACTATAAATTATTGTGTGGACCATGGTTCACACAGTGTTATATGAACCATAACAAAAAGTACATTTTTAATATATTAAATGTACATTATTTTTGTATTGAATGTACATTATACAATATAATGTACACTCACTACAAAAATAATGTACATCCCCTGAATACAATGTACATTATTTTTGTGCTAAATGTACATTATTTTTGTACTGAATGTACATTATTGTATATAGTGTACAAAATATAGTCCACACAATAATGATTGAATTTCTACCATACTAATAATAGTCTAAGAGAGTAAGGCTTATAATGGGTAGAAAAGATGGCCGTCAAATTTTTTTATCAAATGAATGGCTCAGATTGATCAGATTTTATTTTTTCCTTAGGAATTTCTAATTTATCCTTAATAAATATGATTATCCGTTAAATATTATCTTTTCTGTTAATTTCTATTAGTTCACCGTTAACTTATTCATTGATTTCAATAAGAAAGGTATTATGTTCGAAGTCATCCCAATCAACGTGGGCATAATTAGTACTCATTTTACTCTTATTGAATTAAATAATAATTTAGAAGCTACAACAAAAAATAATACATATACATTTCTATAATTTAGAATTATGTGTCTACAATGTCTTTATTCAAAAAAAAAAAATATTCATTATCAATAAATTAAATAAGAGAAATAATTTCATTAGTTATATTGTCTTTATTTTCTCCAATATAAAAATTTTTTACATTCAAATTCATCAATTGATTTATATTCGCTACATTGTCCCTACAATGTCTTTAATTTTAATGATGTATTGTTGGTACTTAGCTAGCTTATTACATGTATGTGTTGCGAACTTTAATTTGAAGTGTTGAGAACTTTGAAGTGCATGTTGATATTGTTGTGAATGTATGGATTAAAGTGTTGAAGTTTAGTTTACATATGTGTTGAAAACTTTGAAGTGTTGATGTATGTTGTGAATTGAGTGTATTGAAGTTTAATTTAGTGCTAAAGTGTTGGTAGTGATGTATTGATGTATGTATTGAACTTTAGTTGAAAGCTTTGAAGTGGGAGTGACTGTGACTGTATGTATAGGATGTGAATAATATTTTTTGTACCGAAAAAAAATTGAAATTTTTTTCAAATTAAATAAATAAAAAAAATTATAATTCGCATCCAAAGTTCTTCAACTTTGGACGGGAATTGTTATTTTTAAAAAATGATAATTCGCATCCAAAGTTCTTCAACTTTGGACGCGAATTATCATTTTTTGCGTCCAAAGTTACTTTGGACGCTAATTGTATATACAATTAGCGTCTCCTAGATCCACGTCCAAGCAACTTTGGACGCCTTTTAGCCTTAACTTTGAACGTGAATGAATGTTTTTGTACTAGTGATTATCAATAAATTAATTAAGAGAAATAATTTTATTAGTTATATTGTCTTTATTTTTCTCCAATGTAAAAAATATTCTTTACATTCAAATTTATCAATTGATTATATTCAATACATTGTCTATTATCTTTTTTGTGCACTATTTTTTAATTAAATATCAATGTTATAATACAAAATAATGCTATACATTTATTTACCAACTATTTTATTAATACCATGAAAAAAATAAAAAAAAAATATATAATTAATAAAGCCAATCATATTAACTACTTGAGCGATTTGTTTTACAAATTAAAGAGAGTATTCAAATCACACAACAAATTGAAGTGGGAACTATCTTGCAATGTCCTTGTTTAACCATCAGCAGTTAGCAGTTAGCGGTTACCGTTAGCAAATTTGACCTGCGAATTATATCAACACTTGGTAAAAAGATATTTGCTAAAATTAACTGTTCAGATTAACATGTAAAATGACATAAGGGTATACATATATTTAATACTAATAATAATAATTGTTTTTAAAAAATAAAAAATATAATTAAGCCAATCATATTAACTACTTGGGAGATTTATTGACAAAAAGAGTATTCAAATCGCACAACAAATTGAAGTGGGAAACTACCTCGCAATGTCCTTGTTTGATAATAAGCCGTTAGCTCTTCAATATTAGTATATATTTAATATTTTATGCTCTAATTTTTATATTTTTTCCCTTATGTCCCGTATTTGGTTTCAACCATACTTATACAATTATTTTATTGACAATCATAATCAATTTTGACTATATTATCTAGCATTTGTAAATTTAGAATTACATATTTAAATACACAAATTCAACATTCAATTATCTATGCATGATGAATTTCAATATAATCTTGCCTTGATATACTTTAAAGTACTTATTTTTTTTTTTTTTTTAAAAAAAAAGCATTGGACATTATCTCAATCGCGCAATGCGGGTAAAAAACTAGTATAGGAATAAGTGTCGAATAGGTCACTTATTGCATACCAAACTGCAATTAGACTATTGAACTAAAAAAAAAAAAATATAATTGGGTCCTTGAACAACACAAACTCATTCAATTAGACCTAAAATAACCTGGTTACCTAAAATTATGCTGACGTGGCGATTGCCGATTTTAAAAAAAAAAAAATTTAAATAATTAATTAACTAAAATTATTTTTTAAAAAAAAAACTAGAACTGCCGAATTCCTTCGTCTCCTGGCCATGGTGGCTGGAGACGAAACCTGCCGGAAACGATTCGTCTCCGGTAGATCTAGTTTTTTTTTTTTTAAATTTAAATTAATTATTAAAAATATGTAATGCAGATATATAACACAATATGTAAAAATAAATGAAGCGCCAAATTAAGTACACAACTGAATTTTTTTTAACAAAGTTGAAGAACACCTCCTAATCTGCAGGGTCACGCCCGAAAACTTTATCACTCAAGATCAACCCACGATTTTTACAATTACAAGTTCAATGAATTACAAAACTAAGCATAGCACCTATTTAAACATTAATCTCGTAAAAAAAACTCTATGAAAAAGTTTACAAGTACAGTTTGAACTAATTTTTCCAATTAAACAAACTGTAACTAACCTGAATTTCAACATAGCTTGTACTAATATAAAGTGGAGCTGACTTCTCCAGGTAATACATCAATTTTTCCCTGTTTTGAAGTTTCCTTGCAGCGTCTTCCAAATAATATTTCTATTTCAGCATCTTTCAGAATAATATTGATATTTTTCCCGTTTTGAAAAATTCATCTTTCTTCATTACAAAATTCCTATTTATAGTATTTTGTTTTCCTTCATTTGCGTTGCACGAATTAATTCCACTAAAGCTGATTCCCACGTAGCCACACATACCAACATCATGCGTACATAATCCCACAATTCATGTTTTCTTTATAATTCATAACCACACATTACATCATGCATATATACACATTCATATGTCCATTCCTTAATTATCTCACCCATGATTCACTTCCTGAGACTTCTCACATTCACTCATAATGCAAATCCACTCATTTACACACCATTTTCATTTACACGTACACAAATCCATTTTTTATTTTGAACACTATTAATTCTATTACACCATAGTATCTGTTATACACTCAAATTATTGTAGCACAAAAAATTAATCCCCACCACCGGGGTTCGATCCATTTTCTTAATTTGCATGCACATAAACATATGCCAACTAGTGTGTGTGTGTGTATATATATATATATATATATATATATATATATATATATATATATATATATTGGATCCAATGAGACCCCTAGTTAGGTGAGATGATGAGATGTAATCATGAGCATTCATTTTTTTATTTTAACGGTTCAGATTTCAGATTTTTTTTATTTGTAAATGGCTGATCTATAATATACTTAGGGTAGTTGAGTAATTTTACACACACATTTATTTCTTTCCTTATCAAAATCGTGATATTTTATTTGTTTCCTTGAGCGTATATTTTTCTTCAAAGCCGATAGTTGCCTTTCTTCTCGGTTTTTCTTCTTCTCCAGAGTCGCAGCTGCTCCCCTCTCCTTGCCACGGCCACCAGCTTCCCGGTCTCCGTCTTCACTCTCATCCCGCCTCAGTCGCCGATCGTGAGCCGCCTCCGTCTTCACCACTTTCCAGTCAACACCTCGCCTCAGGTTCGTAGTCTCGTTCTCAACTTCTCGTTCATACTTGATTGGCCAGAGAGTGAACAAGGAGATCCATTCTGTCGGCGATGACATCAATGTAAGCTACTTCTTGTTTTGCTCCGATAATTCGGTCTCTTAGTTTTACTTTCTTTAATTTGCTTTTTTTGGAAATCAATTTTGCTTAATTACATTTTCTTGTTGGAGTTTTAGTTCTGGGGATCTCTTGATTGTGATGATGAATTACTAATTATTTTTTCTGTTAAATTAGCATGATTTTCTATGAAAGTAACGATCTCGTGTTGTCGGTGAGTCAGTCGGTCATGGTTGATCTTAGCCTTATCAGCGACTTAGGCAGTTTGAGCCTTTTTCTGTTTCACGTTTAGGTTTTGAGGTTATTATCTTAATAAAAGAATTTTCCATAAAGAAGATTAGAATCTCTTGATTAATTTCAATTCCATGTTTTCATTAACTATTGGTAATCTGTTTCAATTGGGAATATGAGAAATTATTTGCTGCATACTTTGAACTATAGAAGTACTGTAATACAATTGAGATGGTGTGATGTTAGGGTATCAAAACACACAAAGCTAGTAATGTGCAAAATCGAATGCAATGTTTCAGAATTCTGATTTGAACAATTAGTATATTCAGAAGAATAGTGGTTCATCTATAGTAGTTTTGCAGTTCTGAAATGTAGTATTATGATGGTGTGTGCGTAGACAAACATTAGTTTGTGCATTGTACTTGAACGAGTGGTTTTGGCTTGACGATGGTGTTATAATGTATCTGTTTTAGTGTTTGGTTATGGATTTTTAATCGTATTTCTAGATTCATTTTA